TTTGAGAAATCGTGTCGAACGCTTTAGCATAATCAATAAAAGCAATGTACAGAGGTCTGTTGAACTCTTTGTATTTCTCCATTACTTGTTGCGGAACTTGTATATGGTCCGTTGTGGAGAACCCAAAACGAAACCCTGCTTGTTCTATTGGTTGATATTTATCGATCTCGGGGCTCAAGCGGCTTTGTAGGATTGACATGAACAGTTTATACACACTTGAGAGAAGACTAATCGGTCGGTAATTAGAGATGTCCTGGGGGTCTCCTTTCTTATATAGAAGTATTATATCCGATCTTTTCCATTGAATCGGTACCTGGCCTGTGTGCAGAACCTTGTTGAACAGGTGCGTGAGTGGGCTTGTAAGTAGGATACTGCCAGCCTTGATTGCCTCATTTTGTATGCCGTCAGGACCAGGACTTTTGTCTGCTCTGAGTTTTCTGATGTGCTTGGTGACTTCTTGCTCGTCTACTGGTGACAAATCGTTTAGGCATTGAAAGTCTACTGTAGCAACATCAGTTTTGTCAGAATTTTTTGGCATATAAAACAAAAAATGGTTATCTTCTCCATTGTGAGGTCTAAAATGTCTCAAAATATTGTTAAGAAAAGTAAAATAATATGGGGTAACAGAAAACCACATCAAATACTCAAATATAAAGAATATTGTAATTCGAAATTTAGAGATATGCATTTACCGGTAGAGTTTTGCCATTGTTGTGATCGTATGTATACGTGTACAGATCACAAAGAGACTTTAGATAGGACGTATGAGGCTATAGTAAATACCTTAAGCGAGGCCGCAATTATGACATATGAAGGTAGTGCCATTACTGGCAAAAAGAAAACTGTAGTCGGATGGAATAAATATGTAAAAGATGCTCATAGGGAGTCCAGGATACAATTTGATAATTGGTTACAATGTGGCAAACCTAAAGGGGGCATTGTGTATGATCGAATGTGTGAGAGCAGACGTCGATTTAAATTTAAGTTAAAATGGTGCCAGAATCGGGAAGAAGAACAAATTAAAAATGACATAATAGCTACTCAGCATTGTAATAAGGACTTCAAAAATTTTTGGAAATCCACAAATAAATTAAATCTGCGGCCTGGTCTTCCTGTGAGCATTGGGAACACTAAGGATAAAAAAGAGATTTTTGAAAATTTTAGGCAATATTTTAATGTTGACTCTCCTTTAGGACCCATAAATGGTAAAACCTACACGGAAGTTCCCTCCGACACAAAACCGGTTCGCTTCACAGCTAAACAGGTGGGTGCAGTGATTATGAACATGAAAAGGGGGAGGTCTCCTGGGTATGATGATCTTAGCATTGAGCACTTGCAACATGTTGGTGGCCATCTTCCTAGGGTTTTGGGTTTGTTTTTTTCACTGTGCCTACGACATAGATATCTACCTAAAAATATAATGAGGACTATTGTGCCAATTCTAAAAAATAAAACTGGGGACATAACCAACTATAGACCTATATCGTTGGCTACAATATTAGCAAAGGTACTGGACGGTCTACTTGATACGTATTTAAGAAAATATTTGCGGCTACACGATGCTCAATTTGGTTTCCGGACTGGGCTTTCAACAGAGAGTGCCATTGTGGCCCTTAAGCGAACCGTTGAGTACTACACGGACAGAAAAACACCTGTGTGTCCTATGAAATATTGTGGAGTAAGTTGAGGAAAACCGAGATACCTGGTGAACTCGAGTATTGGTACAACAATCAAATAAATAATGTCAAATGGGCAGATACGTTTTCCGGTCCGTACAGGCTAGAATATGAGGTGAGACTAGGGGGTTTAAGCTCACCGAACCTGTTCAGCCTGTACATTAATGACCTAATTGGTGAGTTGAGCTGCATGTATATCGAATTCTATGTAGATGGAGTTTGCTTAAACAATTTAAGTTACGCCGATAATATGGTGCTGCTCGCCCCGTCTGTTAGTGCTCTTAGAAAAATTGTTACGCTTTTGTGAGGATTATGGTGTTAGTCATGGTTTGGTATACAACGCTAAGAAAAGCCAGTTTATGGTATTTAGAGCTGGAAAAAAGTGTCCAAAGAAAGTGCCTCCTATTTTGCTTAATGGCACTGCCCTAGGAAGATTAAAAGAGCTTAAATAGCTAGGCCACTACATAACTGAAAATTGTAAAGATGATATGGACATCGATAGGGAGCAAAGGGCACTGTCGATCCGTGGAAATCTGTTGATTCGTAGGTTTGCGCGGTGCACCAAAGAAGTTAAGATTACACTCTTTAAAGCCTACTGTCAATCTTTTTACGCATGCAGCTTATGGACAAAGTATACAAAGCGCTTACAGTGACCTTCGTGTTTTATATAATAACATTTTCTGGGCCCTGTTGGGGCTGCCTCGATTTTGCAGTGCATCAGGGATGTTTGCAGAAGCACGAACAGATGACTTTTTCGCAATAATGCGTAAAAGAGTGTACTCGCTGGTGAGCGGAATACGTGACAGCCGCAACAGTATAATGAACGTGTTCGCCGAAAGATGTGACGGGAATATGCTAGATTATTGGAACAATATGTTAAAAAAGTGATTACACATATTTAAGGAACTAACATTAGTATTTAAGGTGCGCAATGTATTATTAACAACTTACAGCTGATCCGCGGTAATCCGACAAACGCTTTGCAAGGCGCTGTCGGATTATCGAATTTGTCGGACTATAGAGTACTGCCACAGCACCCTGGTAGTCCGCAACTTTTTGAAAAAAAGTACCTTGTAATCTGACATATTACATATGAAATATAAAATAATAAAAAAATAAAAATGTGATGTGATGCACAATGAATGCCCGTTAGACCGCTATAACAGTCACATTTGAACTGAGATAGTAAGCGTCAAGCTGGATTAGTGGTGGCGAGAACTAATTGCAACCTGCTTGTCCACGTTATCGCGAAGGACACCTACCCCCCGTGGCGGATTTATTGCGCGGCTCGAATCTACCTATAAGTTAAGGACATGTCGGATTACAAAGGGGGACGGATTAACCAGGGGCCGGATTACCGGGGGTCTACTGTATATGGATCTATGTTTGAAATAAAAGAGTTGCTATTATAAATACATCTTAAGTTTAACCATATTTACGCTGCGCGCCGCCTAAACGTTTGGTAAGTTTAAACCCTTGTAATAGCATGTTTTTGTACTACGATAGGTATCTTTTAAATTATTTTCTTACTGTGTATGTTCTCAGTAAGGTTTTTTGAATAAAAAATCCCTACGTCATCGATTTGCTTTTTGATTTATGAACAGCTTTGCAAAATTTGCGCTCGAAATTCACTATTTCCAACTTTACGAGTCTCTGTTTAAAAACAAGGTGTCATAAATTAAATTATAATACCCAAGTCCAATGACTCATTTATTCAGCAACACAAAAAACAAACACTTGCTCTGTTATTCAAAAAACTTCTCAAACTTCTTCTCACACTTTCGTCTTGATTCATCATTGTGTCTATTGATTTATACAGTTTTTCATTTGGTGTCATATTCCGTATCCTTTTATTAATTTAATGCACTTCATCATTTTTTGCTCACACAACCATGTCCTATTTAGATAATTTTGTTCAATAGACGGATAAACTTTTTCAATAAGTTCTTCATTTGTATTTACTTACACAATTCTTCTCATAGAATAAGTTTGCCTAACTGTGAATCTATATAGGATATATAATATAAGATAGGTGTCAATGCCAATGTTTAACAGATTTTTAACTAACTCTTGTGCTTCCGGATCTCCAGTAATCTTTGCTCGCATATTGTCTGTTAATGATAATTTATCGATACGATCCCAGAACGTTAACCCATTAGTGGCCAAAATCAAATAAAAAACGTTTTTAACGAAAAATATTTATTTTGTTAATCTGGGCAGGACTAGCAAACATAAAATGAAACAAAAATTTTTTTTTAAATTATTTTTTTATACTTTTTCAGGGGTGTACTTGTTTGAGTACAGCGGCCACTTATATGTGTAATTTTCCGAAGCATGACTTTTCAATGCAGAGTGTTTTCAAACACTTCTTGCATCCCTATCGGACCCTTGCATGGCAAATGAGGCATCGTAATTGCTTTTCAAGCATCCTTGGGTAGTGGCCTGAACCATCTTGAGTCAGTGCTTTGACCAAAGAAGAATATGATCTGGCTCTTTTTAGAGTTTCTTGTCGCAAATAGTATATGGCAAGACTATGTCGAAGCAAGAGTTGATCCATTCATCCATCCTTGCTCATAAACATGTAAACGCCAAACGTTTGAAACGGCCATGTCCAACAAGTATGTAAATAAAACTCACCACCACTTTTTTCCAGGAATCCCGATCCTGTATAATGATATGGGCTGATCAAGGTCATCGACTCCACCTTTATTGTAGTTTTCAAATAAAAATCGGAATCCTTACATCGGTTTTCTCTATTATTTCTGGGCACCATCTTTATACCGTGCATCATAGTTAGTAGTACAAATACGCCCCATTGATTGAATTTATTCGTCAGTATGTCGGCTAGGGATCTGATTTTGAACATTTTATTTCTGGAATTTGATGTTTCATCGTTACTCACAAGATGAAGATACGTTTTTATTTTACGAAATTTATTCCTCGTTACAGCTCTTGAAACTAGAGTAACTCTGACGTCCTCATCCAGACATCAATATATTACTTCCCGAGGCAATTTGTGATATCCCGACAAAATCAAAATACCAATGAACTTCTTCAGGTCTAGTAAATCAAGTTGAAAAGAGTGTCTATTGTTTTGATTAGCATACAAAATATTATTACATAATACAAGCTGTAATACTTATTCATTCAGTATTTTTTCGAAAATCTGTACAGGATTTTGGTCTATCAGATGTTCCTTTATAGCATTTTGTTTGTCTTGCACCTCAGACGTATGCTGATGGACAAAAGTATAGGATAGTGAACATTTTCTCCAGGCTGAAGTTTACTGCCACTGCTGAATGTTAGGCTTCCGACGAAATCCTTTTACGGCCAATGGTTCTTCTTCTCTAAAATCATAGTAGGATGAAAAAGTACCTTCATTGCGTACCATAACTTCAATATTTTCGAGCACATCTCGTGACAACGTATAACAACCCTATCTTCATCAGACTCTTCCATTTCGTCAGTCACGATACAGGAATCAGGTGGTATTATCGGCAAATCATTTTCACGGTCATCATCATCAGACTCTGCAATTGCTTCCTCAGGTGCTATAAAGCTATTTATACCGAAAAACATCTTGCGACTCATTGTTGGTAAATTGAAACAAAGTTGTATTTTTTATCTATTGAAGTAACCAGTGTACTCAACTGAGTACATTAGTAAAAATCTTCATCTAAAGTTAGTAATAAACAATAACTGTTTCAAATTTGTAACTCACATTATAGACTACACTAGTTATATCTAATCACAATTATTACAAAAAACAACATTTACACAAATAATAATAATAAAATGTGATAAAAATACTACTCACTTCGGCGCTAGTCCAATAACATGAAATCCGGTTGCTCCAAACGACACATATTTTAGAAACACCCTCAATTTGCACGACTTAAATAAAATATGAGTTTACCCTCTATTTCAATTAATAAAATAAAAACTAATAAACCCTCACAGATTTAGTCAATTAATTTTTAAATAACTGTACTCTTTTGAATACAGCGACAGAGAATGGGTTAATCGCTTCAAACATGCGATTATTTAATAACCTTGTCTAACTTAACTAACCTAACCTTGTGTGTCGAAAATCTCCGGATAATAATAGTAAACACTTTGTACTGGTATTATCAGTAAAATAGTGTACTGTTTTATAATTAATAGTATAAAACTAAGTTGCAGGTACATTCAGCAACTATAGGTACTTTAAGATCGATAGAAAATTCTTTTAGTTGTTCCAACAAGATATAGAGCCTGTCTGTGTACAAATGTTTTATGGATAGCTTCTATCGTATACATGTATTGATTGTTAGTGAGTATTCATCCCAAATACCATTAAAGTAACATGACTGAAGCCAAGATGAGTAAGGGATACATAGGCTGCACTAAAAGTATCGTGAATGGAATATTTCCACTGTTCCTGTCATATTAAAATCTTTTTAATTGAAAACTCTTTGGTTTAAAAAATTGAATACCATTTATTTATTTAAAAAAAATCTCGGTATTGTCACAAGGTTTTGTCAAACTTGTTTAGTCGTTGAGAAAATGGATTGACTCGATAAAATTCAAGAGCAATGATTTATTATGACTTTCGAAGTGGTTTAACACAAAAACAGTGTGTTGCCCGGATGATTTCTGCATTTGGTGATGAAGCCCCATACAAAACCACAATTTATCGCTGGTTTGCTGAATTTCAACGTGGACGTGTCAGGCTCAGTGATGATCCCCGTCAAGGTCGTCCAAAAACTGCAGTCACCCAAGAAAACGTTGATGCTGTGCGTAAGCTGATTGAGGAAGATCGACATGTGACATACCGCGAAATTCAGGCAACTTTAGACATTGGCATGAATCAAATACAAATAATCTTGCATGAACAATTATGTGTAAAAAAGTTGTTTTTCCGATGGATACCGCATTCGCTTTGTGAAGAGCAAAAAGCGGCTCGCGTTACTTGGTGCGTCAGAACTCTCGAAAGATTCCACGCAGGATTTTCAAATGCTGCGACGAATCCTGGATATACGCGTACGAACTCGAAACAAAAAACCGATCACGAGTTTGGGTGTTCGAAAATGAGTTAAAGCCAACAAAAATTGTTCGTTCACGAAGTGTTGCAAAAAATTGGTGGCCACGTTTGTCTCCAAAACCGGCCATGTTACGACTATTCCCCTTGAAGGACAAAGAACGGTTAATGCAGAATGGTATGCTTCACAGGTCGTTTCTGAACTCCGTAAAGAGAACTGCAACCGCCGCATCATCCTCCATCACGACAATGCGAGTTCTCACACCGCACACAGAACAAAGGAGTTTTTAGAGCAAGAAAATATAGAATTATTAGACCATCCGCCGTACAGCCTCGACTGAAGCCCTAATGATTTCTATACTTTCCCTAAAATAAAGAATAAATTGCGTGGACAGAGATTTTCATGACCTGAAGAAGCTGTGTACGCCTATAAAACGGCCATTTTGGAGACCCCAACTTCCGAATGGAATGGTTGCTTCAATGAGTGGTTCCATCGTATGGAAAAATGTCAAATTTCGCGGAGAATACTTCGAAAAGAAATAAATACATTTTTAAATTGTCATGTGCCACTTCCTTGATTCCCGAAATTTTCAGTATAAATTTATAGTAAGAAAGATGTTTTAAACTGGTTGTGCTAATGATAAAAAACACAAAGTATAATGTGACTGCCTAATAAATGCAGTTGTGGTGTTGCATTATACTTGGTGTTTTGTAAATAATCATTTCCAAAGTAGAATATTAATAGTAGAACAGACGGACATATATGCACTTTGTTAAAACTTTGTTTTAATATGTTTCGGTTGATTAGTTAGTACTAATATATCTTTAATAACATTAAACCCAAAATGACTGGGTAATAGGATACCAATTTAAGGCAAGTAAAATGTTTCGAACTGGTTGTTTACCGTAAATGCATACAACATGAGACAGGTTTAAATTTCAATTCACAGTATAAGGTGTAATTCTTAATAATTATGGTTTGAAATTTTACTAGAACATGAGTCTCTATCTAAGGTAATAGGAGCATATTACAATATTGAGCCAATCAATGTAGTTTTTTTTATATATATTTATTTCATCTTGTCTCAATTTACCTGCAACATGCGGTAAACATAAGAAATATATTTATATATTTCTTATGTTTATATATTTAAATAAACCTTTCACCTTATAAAAGTCATGGTTTCCCATGTAGAATTTCAATGTTAGTTAATTGAGACGTTAAAAAATAACAAATTATTGAATTTGCGCAAATTAAAACAATAATATATCAGTTATAACTAGGGGTATTAAATAAAACAAAATATTATCTCCAAATCTTACTTTTACTAGTTCTTCAAAAATCAAATAAAAATTATATAAAATCAAAAACAAAAAACAAACTTCTTCATAAATCGTCAAAAAATAAATCAACATAAATCTCGATTTTGAGACCGAAGGTAATTTGAGATCTCAATTTGCCCACATGTCTCAAATTAGCCCTTAACACTAAGTAAATTAATAACATTTGCAACTTATAATAAAATTTAAACATTGAGATCAAAATTGGAGTCTAAGCTATTAGGAACGTTTTATTGCGATACATAGGCTATACCTAGGCATACCTACGCTTTGAAGTGCGCACAAAAAATATTATTTTACACAATTTTATTAGTCTTATAATTAAATATTAATATTAAAAATGTATTTTCCCCTTTTTACTTGAGTGGGTTTAATTGTATTTATTATTCGAGAAGTGTCAATTGTCATCATCACTGCTGGAAATATGTAAATACCCTTTGTAGCTGAAAAACATCTCATGAAGCGACAGGTCACTTTTCCGTCGCTAACCATGTTCGTAACTTGAGCAATAAACTTCTTTTCAGTTTGTTTTTTCGTATTCTCATTGTAGAGTAATTCGACAACAACAAAAGAATCTGGTGAAATCTCCGAATTATTTACAATTTCTGTATCGATATCTTTAGAGCAACCAGCACCACCATCACTAGGTACAGAAACTTTAAATTGTTCGTCAGTATAGACCGATTGGTCTACATTGAGTGGATCTTCATTTTCTTGGTTCTCATTATGTGGGATGTTAGTTGTACGTGGTGACGCCGATCTTTCATCATCATCAGGAAACATGTCATGAACATCATCAAAAAACACTGTGTCGATTTCATTATTGTCATCGGATGATGAGTTTGCAGTATTCAAAACTGCTTCCCTCCATTCTTCTAAATCACTGCAGGAAGTGCTTTCATCATCGACGATCTTTTTTTTTGTTTTTTCGTTTTATTACGTTTCGTCTTAGTCTTTAATGATTCGGATAAGTCCTCCACTGTTACACCTTTACCTGGAATAACTGCCACCTTTTTTTCTTCGGGGCTGTGCTGCATTCTTTTGTTCGCATATCTTCGATATACATTTTAAACGTTTCTAAACATTGCTGAGATGCATTATTATGGATTTCTGGATATTCCTGTGTAGGCAATCTATCTAAGACTCTTTTTTCATTAATTGCATATATCCCAGCTGCTTCAAATTCGGACTTCAAATTTTTTCCCATATTTTCTATATTATCCAGAGTTTGCTTCAAAAGCCTCGGAAAAACATGCTTCGGCATTACTCCTCTATTTTTTTCCTTCCAAGACAGCAGAACAGACCTCCATTTTATTTTTAATGGTCGAAACACTGCTACATCGAGGGGTTGGCACAACCCCGTACTATTTGCCGGTAAACAAACAAATTTAATATTATAGTCAGTACACTTTTGTATCACATCTAATGAAAAATGACTGCTCAGATTGTCACCAATTACAACCACGGGTCCTCTGCCATTAAACGATTCAACATAAGGAATAATGACCTTCAAAAACTAATCCTCAAATATTGTAGTGTCAATATTTGAGGATTAGTTTTTGATTTGAACCATCCACTCCGAGATCGGTTGTAAACTGTATTTGGAGGTCCTCCTTCCGTCCAAGTATTATATAAATGTTCCGCTTTATAAACGACGTACGGTGGAAGCAGAACACCTGACGCTGTCCCAGCAAACATTACGGAGGTACTTGATTTTGATGAGTCAATGATTTTATGAGCATGCTTGATACCTCGACGTACCAACACTTTCTGGCGTCCCGGGTCATCAGACATATTAGTCTCGTCAAAATTTACTATTGCGGCCGGATCTACATCCTCCAAGGTGGTTTTTAATTCTTGGAAGTATGATTTTAATGTCTCCTGCGTAACTCCAGCTCTTTGGCGTTTAATATTTTCTAAAAGCCTTACAGATAAAGTGCTTATATGGCGCCGTAGAAAACCTTCCAGCCAATATCGTCCCGGTGTTACCTTTGAAACGTGTCTCATTTAGACCTAGCCTATCTAGATGTGATTTCACGAGTAAAGATAGGTCTAAACCTGATAGTGGATATCCCCAAGCAGCAGCTGTAATGATTGATTGCACAAAGACTTCCTCCAGAGCTTCACTGAAAACTTTAGGACGGCCGACTTTGTTTAATTGTAGCCTTCGGTGTTTTCTATTTAAAGTTGCTCGAGGTATTTTAAATTTTTCTTCCGCTTCCCTCAAAGTCATGCCAGTGTCAACTGCTGCCATAGCAGCTTTCAAAGTGTCCTCACTATAATTTCGGTAGGGTTTCGCCCCGAGAACTCTTCGTCTTCGCGAAGACATAATTACTGAAACAAAAAAAAATAATGTATCATCAATAATTATCATAATTACTTGAAATTGAACCACTAACGATTTGAATAAAATTTGAGACATATGCACCTAATTTGACTCATAAGCACCTAATTTGAGACATGGTCTCAATTTTCCATCATAAAAATAAAATGCGTCCAGTTTGAGGAAATTTTAAATTTATTCTGGCAACATTTAACAAATAGTCTAAAACATGGAGTTTTTTTTGTCTATGGGAACATGCTTCACAAGATGGGATTGATTAATCGATTTAAATCACAGTACTTATTAGTCAATTATCAGAGTTCTGAGGTATATGTAGTACAACAATATATTTCACAAACAAATTAATGTCTATTTCTCAAAAAATACTACTTACCTGGTAAAAAATCCTTCACGACAGCAAGTATGGAACCTCACACAACAAATTTGAAACTGAACTGTCAGTGTTGCCAAAATAATAATGATACTACATGTAATAATATATGCCATGGAAGTTTAGTCTCAGTTTACCTTCGAGTCTCATGTTGTACGCATTTACGGTACTAAGAAAAAAATTAATATCGCTGTAAAAAAAGTAGCATAAACATGGTTGTGTGGGAACTTTGTTTGAATTGATTGATTGATTAGCATATCCTGTACATTATTTAAGTCTAGTAATGTAAACAATAATATATATTAAGCTAGACATTTGAAACTGATTACGCAAAAATGTAAAAAAAATGTAAAAATTCACTGTATTTATTATAATTGATCATCATCATAAAGCAGTATATACAGACAAGCGCAGTGTATAAACTTTGTTTTAAAATGAAAAACTGAAGAAAAGCAGCATTTTAATGAAGATACAGACCAAGCTCATCTTATTAAACAACGTAAGTACAGCGCAAGTGAGTCATCGATTTCTTCAAGTGATGTGTTTGAAGATCCTCTTAATGATGAAGAAAGTTTGGATAATGATGTTTATACAACATCCAACAAAACCCTCACTCACTTGCTTCCTGCGGATGATAATAACACGAATGAAATTTCGTTTAGATCTCATCAATCAACACCAAGTATTGCAAATGATTCATTATCATGGTCTATGTCATCTGAATTATTAAAAGATGTACTTTATGGTGTCAGAAATGAACATGGGAAACTAATGCTCGGCGCATTTCGTGTCTATGATGATGATCACATCTTAAAAATTGGAAATCATAGTTTGAAAAAAAACTCCAGGCTTAAAAGAGTTATTGTTTAAAAAGCTACCAAATTTAGATATTGTAACAGAGGAAGACTTACAAAATTATAAATTGTTACTTTTGGATACTAATGTACACAAACGTAGTTATGATCCATCCAAACCGATTAACAGTAACAAAGGATTTAAATATATGCAAGTGATCAAACCATTGTTTAAGCACTCGAGAAATCATAAAAGTAGTGTAGAAAGTCTTCCAAAGGGAGAAGGAGTTGATATTTTAAAAGAAGTTAAAAAAGATACTGATTTGGTTTACTTGAACGATCCATCCTATTTGAAATTATAATAAAGTGAACGGTTTGCCAATGAAACCAAAAAACCATGAGACAATATCTAATCAATGCAATTGTTAAACATTATGTAGATAATATCCATGCAGGAAGCGAAATATGAATAATTCCACATCTCCCTTTTATTTTTTGTGGTGGCATGGTAAATTCGCCGTTTAGTTAATTAACATAAGGGTATGCATGTAAAACAAAGCGATTTGAACTACTTTAATGTCTGATGTAACTCAAGAGATTATTTTCCGCCTAGTTTTGAAAAATCTATAATTCCAAAACAAATGGCAAACACAGGTCTTAGAAGTTTTATGTTATTAGTAAAGCCTCAATTAAATAATAGATTTTGAATGATTTATTGTAAAATCATTGTATTTTGGACATTTGTATTCTTCAATATTAAGAATTCTATCATTCGTCGTCAACATTTTTAAAAATTGTTTTTCTGTTGAACCACCTTTGTATTATATAGTATACTATAACTAATGTTTTTGGGAAATCAAACAAAATTTATAATTAATTTAAAATTTTATTTTCAAGCAATAACCACTTGTAAAAAACCCACACTTCGTCACAAGAACAATGTAACATTTTGTGATTATTTTTTGCAAATACATGATTATTACACACATAACGTTTGTTTAAATTTATGATATTTACCAAATCATTGTATTTTGGACATTTGTATTCTTTAATATTAAAAATTCTATCATTCGTCGTCAACATTTATAAAAATTGTTTTTCTGTTGAACCACCTTTGTATTATATAGTATACTATAACTAATGTTTTTGGGAAATCGAACAAAATTTATAATTAATTAAAAATTTTATTTTCAAGCAATAACCACTTGTAAAAAACCCACACTTCGTCACAAGAACAATGTAAAATTTTGTGATTATTTTTTGCAAATATATGATTATTACACACATAACGTTTGTTTAAATTTATGACATTTACCAAATCATTGTATTTTGGACATTTGTATTCTTCAATATTAAAAATTCTATCATTCGTCGTCAACATTTTTAAAAATTGTTTTTCTGTTGAACCACCTTTGTATTATATAGTATACTATAACTAATGTTTTTGGGAAATCAAACAAAATTTATGATCAATTAAAAATTTTATTTTCAAGCAATGACCAATTGTAAAAAACCCACACTTCGTCACAAGAACAATGTAAAATTTTGTGATTATTTTTTGCAAATACATGATTATTACACACATAACGTTTGTTTAAATTTATGACATTTACCAAATCATTGTATTTTGGACATTTGTATTCTTCAATATTAAAAATTCTATCATTCGTCGTCAATATTTTTAAAAATTGTTTTTCTGTTGAACCACCTTTGTATGCGATCACTTCGTCTTTGCACAAATTTTTAATATACCAATTTAATATGGGAATGATGTTCTCTTGTTTGTAGGCATATTTTAATTCTTCGGTCACATCAAAATATGGAATGCCGTGCACGTGTGTTACACAATAACGAACATTTTTTATGTCTTTTAGCGACAAATAATTGAAATGATAACTTGGCCGAAACAAATAATGATCGATAAACGCATCATTTTTATTAGATAATTTTACGTCTAGAATAGCCATTTCACTCCATTGAAAATGTTTATGAGGATATGTAATGTAAAATTCATCCATGTCGATGATGTATCTAATATTTTTTAAATTTTGTGTCATTTTGAACCAAAATGTTAAAAGTATTTACACGTGACTAAAATATGTTTGTTCCAACAAACTTCACATAACAATGCTTTCATTACTTGCCATCATCCCATTTCTTCCTTCTGCTCTTGTCTTCCTGTAATTTAAATAAACAGAATCACATTCACTAATGATCAACTAATGGCTGTCATTGTTAAAAAAGTATTTTTTAACTACTCTAGTATTCGTTGATGCGGTACACACACAATATTTAAATATAATTTGTTAACACTAAATCATACACAAGTAAGAAAATAACAGAAAGAAAAGTAAGTGTGTCAATAGAATAAACACTTAAAATTGCAATTAACAATTTAATTGGTGCCGGTGGGGATCGAACCCGGGTACTGTGAAATTTACAGTTTGCGCTAACTATCTGAGCTACCACGGCTTAATATACACACACAATATTTAAATATAATTTGTTAACACTAAATCATACACACGTAAGAAAATAACAGAAAGAAAAGTAAGTGTGTCAATAGATTAAACAATTAAAATTGCAATTAACAATTTAATTGGTGCCGGCGGGGATCGAACCCGGGTACTGTGAAATTTACAGCTTACGCTAACTATCTGAGCTACCACGGCTTGATATACACACACAATATTTAAATATAATTTGTTAACACTAAATCATACACACGTAAGAAAATAACAGAAAGAAAAGTAAGTTTGTCAATAGATTAAACACTTACATCTATATATGGCCTTTGATGCGTTGAAGTAACACAAATGTAGTATTGATAGAACCACTGCGGTCAAACGACCATACACTAACTCCATGACTGCAGTTGCTTGGTCTTATATAGTACCAGTAAGTAATAATTCTAATCTAAAGAATTTCTACAGTGGAATTGATAATAACTTTATGCGTCAACAAGCTTATCTCACATTCTGTTGCTTATGTCAGCATTACTTCGTGTCGTCTTGTTCAGTGTATTGATGACTCAAATACGTTTTGTATAACACAAAATAATGCAATTTAATATTTAGAAATCACTATAATTGATCATTCCTATGTTAGTCATTGAGTAGATTGTACTGTAATAATCTACTAATAGCAGTAATATCATGGATACACTAGATGTAGAACAACATCTGAAAAGATTCACCCCAGTCTAGAAAATAATGTTTATGCTGCTAATAGACTGCCCATGTACACCCACGTACCAACGTATATACCTAGTCAGGTCATAAGTATTGTCACACAGTAAAAACTTTTCTTTTAGAATGCTGGCCACAAAAAAAGTTTATTGAATTCGAGTTGTTCATGAAAATAAAACTGTATACTTTTTAGAATTTTACTCATTTTTAAATATGGAGTGGACGCTTAAAGAAGACCGTGTTGCAGTTATTGCGTTGCATCGTTGCGGTTACGTGCCAATTCAAATTTTTGACATACTGAAAAATTTGAATATAACCAAAAGATTCGTTTATCGTACCATCAAACGATACAATGAAGACTCTAGTGTAGATGACAGGTCTGGGTATTCCAACAAGATTCGGCGTCAGCTCATAGAGCGAAGAGCACACAAGACTGGCTGGCGGCGCGTGAAACGATATCATCTAGAGTTTTTAAAAAGGAATCGTAAAAGATGGAACTGGAATGTTGATAGGATTCAGAATGAATGAACTTCAGTTTGTGGCGAATATTGCTTAATGTATTTGCATGCATATATGTTTGTTACATATTCTTTATCCAAGAATAATGAATCATCTATTAAATATTTTAATTTG